TGTGTGTGTGTGTATACACCTCTTCATTTAATTCATATAGCTGTGTTTTCAGCACAAATATTTGTTATAAAGGAAAATATTTTAATATTGTTGGCTTTCTGGTTACTTGTGTGATTCATGCATTGTACAGATGAATAAATGAGGTTACTGTCAGTGCAGAAAATATTTTGAATATAGTGCATAGCCAAATAAATATGTTGTGGGTCCTCAATGCAATGTAGCATTACTTCTTGTTATATTTCTTCCCAAAGAGGACCAATGATGATGGGTTCCAGACTTAGTTGGTTCTGTTTTTTATTCTTCTACTTTGTATATGTTTAGAAGATCTTGAGAAAACTGAAAAATCTGTCTTTTATTCAGTATATTTATTTATTAATGGAGTCAGAAAAAGCATGTTATGCACACTATTGAATTTTTTTCCTTTTATTTTATTTTATAATACCATTCAGTTCTACATTTTTATGACATAGAAGTCATTAAGATGAATGCCACCTTGAACTATTGTATCATGTGATTTTTTTCACTCTTTTCTCTCTTTTTTTTGTTGGTCTAATGTAACTTTTTAAAAAATTTTATATAAGAAATTTTCTAGTCATTTTACATATCAGCCACAGATTTCCCTGTCCTCCCTCCTCCCACCCCACCCCCAGCCTTCCCTCCATCTAGTCTCTTTTTTGAAAATAAATTGTATGTATGTAAAATAGGGCAGGAGGGAAAATTAGAAATTTCAAGTGTACTCTGAATTTTACATTATAATATTTTATATTAAGAGACTTTGAAGTGGCTACTAGTTCCTCTTCTATAAAATCTAGGCTTCAACATTATTTTTAAGACAATGAGATGGACTTTTAGATTACTTGAGAAACAGATTTTGAATATACTTACATTTAAGGGTATCTTTGTGCTCCAGTACACTCTAGATCACACAATAAAATCTACTAATCCTGTTACTCTTTGAATCTCATTTAATCTCTTTCTCATAAATTAAAGGAACTGCAACCTTTCAACCTCCTCTTTGTATTGCAACTTCCATGTCCTGCACTATGCTGGAGCCAACCTGGCTGATTCTGATCCTGTACATTCTTGCAAACATGCTTCCTTTGTATTGTCTGGGTCCATGTTCCTGCTGCAGCTGGGGTCTGTGATGATGTCCCTGTCCTGTGTTGCTATAGAGAGTCATGGGAACCATGCATGTTGAAATCTGAGGGCCTTGCTGAGCTGGCCCCACACATTATTGGCTCTGGGATAGCAGGGCTTGCCCTTGGAGGGATGCTGGACCTGACCCCAATTGGAGAGATGCCCCTTTCCCATGCTTCTGCTGCCTAAGGTGGGCGGTCCCAGTGACTGGATCAACTAACTCAGCTACCACTCAGACCCACATCCTGGGCCTTTGGTTGGTCCACCCTAATATCTACCCCATCTATGACCTGCTGTAGTACATGAAGGGACTGGTCCTAGGATACCCATGACAGGACAACAGCAGGATATCCAAGAGATGTTATGGTAAGGGTTCAGTGATGATGGTGTGCCAGAGGTCTTGAACCAGACCAATGACTCATTGCATGAACATTTTGTGGGTGGGGCTTATTGGACAAGAGGGTATTCTATGTGACACACTGTAGCACCAATGCCTCAAGGATAAATAAAGAGGTGTTGGAAAGACAGAGGAATAAGGTGGACTTTTTTGTTAGTTTGTTTTGTTTTTAATTGATTTAGGGGGTTTCTTTTAGGGTGAAGCTGCAGGGGTGAGGGGAAGATATGGAAGGCTTGGGATGTGAGCAGGATTGGGTGCATGATTTGAAATTCTGAAATCAATAAAGTATTATATTGTAAAAAAATCCACAAATAAATATCTTAATGATGAAAGCAAAAAAATTGGCAAAACAAGAACTAAACAAATCCAAACCCAGTCAATGACAAGAAATAATAAAAATCAAAGCAGAACTCAAAGGAATAGAGCCAAATAAAATAATGATGCAAAGAATCAACAAATCTAAAAGCTGGTTCTTTGAGAAGATAAATAAGATTACAGGACCATAAGCCCAACTAACCAAAAAGAAAAAAAGAAAAAGAAAGAAAGAAAGAAAGAAAGAAAGAAAGAAAGAAAGAAAGAAAGAAAGAAAGAAAGAAAGAAAGAAAAGACCCAAAATAACAGGAGCAGAAATGAACAGGGAAGCATGAAAACAGACACACATAAAAACTGAGAATATTACAAAAGAATATGTTAAAAACCTATGCTTCATTAAGCTACAAACCCTTAAAGAAACAGAATCATTTTCTGGAGGTAGTCAAACAACCAAAATTAAATCAAGAAGTCAGCAACCTAAAAAGACTGGTAAGTAATGAAGAAATTGAAATAGTAATACAAAGCTTTTCTGCTCAAAAAGAAAGGAAGGAAGGAAGGAAGGAAGGAAGGAAGGAAGGAAGGAAGGAAGGAAGGAAGGAAGGGGAAGAAAAGAAAAGCCCAGGGCCAGATGGATTCATAGTACAATTCATACAGAGTTTCAAAGGAGATCTACAGTAAATTTTCTTAAAGCCTGCAAACAAATAGGAACAGAAGGTGTATTCCCAATGGTTTTATCCCCGAAATACAGGATGATTCAATATGTGCAAGGCAATAAATGTATTACTCATACATGTAGACTGAATGACAAAAATCACAGGATTATCTCAATAGATGAAGAGAAAGCCTTTGATAAATCCAACATGCCTTCAAGATAAAAGTCCTAGAGACTGTGGGGCTAAAGGGAACATGATTCAACATAACAAAAAGTATGCTTGATAAACCCACAATCAACATCATCCTAAATGGATAAATGCTTGAAGTAATCTTTTTACTGAAGTCAAGGATGAGACAAGGATTCCCAGTCCTTTTTAATATTGCCCTTGAAGTACTAACTGAAGCAAGAAGGCAAGAGGAGGAAATTAAAGTGATACAAATAGGGAAAGATGTCAAACTGTTCCTATTTGCATTAAAAATCTCAAAAGTTTAACCAGGGAACCACTAGAAGTGTTAAAAAAAATTCAGTAATGTGGCAGGATACAGATTCAACCTGTGTAAACCAATAACTTTTATATACACCAACAACAAATAAACAGAGAAATATTATGGACATATTCCTACTTATACTTGCTTCAAAGACAATAAAATATCTTGTACTAAATCTAACCAAGGAAGTGAAAGCCTGTACAATTAAAAATTTAACCCTCTGGAAAAAAAGATATAGAGGAAGACATTAGAAACTAGAAAGATATCCCATTATAATGGATTCACAGAATTAATCATGTAAAAATGACCATTTTACCAAAACTATTTCCACATTCAATGTGATCAATCAGAATTTAAAAAAACTATCCTAAAATTCATATAGAATCACAAAAGACACTGAGTAGCTAAAATAATCATGAATACAAAGAACAATGCTGGAGAGATTACAATTCCATATCAAGTACAATAATAGGAAAGGCCACGGGGTCTCAACTCTACACAAAGAACTATAGGTAACTAAAGAATGCTGAGTGTGGGAGAAATTGTGCTCACACAGAAGAACAAATCAATAGGTTATTGAGTACCAAATGGTTAGTCCTGAAATTGTACATTCAAGCAACAATATACAGACTGAGTATATTACATTTAGGAATGTGTGTGTGTGTGTGTGTGTGTGTGTGTGTGTGTGTGTGTGTGTGTGTGAAGGCATGTAACAATTAATGAAAATAATGCCATGATTTTGAAAGAGAGCAAGGAGGGGTATATAAGAGTGTTTGGATATGGGAAGTGGAAGGAGGAAATGATGGAATTGCAATAGTCTCAAAAATAAAAAAAATAAAAAAATTTTAAAAATGGCAAAGTAATAAGTTGTTTTTAATATTCAGAGAAAATCATTATGTTTTAAAAGGGGACTTGTTAAACATTGCAACAAATAGGTATGAAGTCAGACATATTGTATTTAAATCAGAAAAGAATGTATTTTGGAGAATGTAGAGAAAGGTGGGATGGAAAATATGAACCTTGCTACAATGACAAGTGAAACCAGTGTAATGAATAGCCACACAGCATTACTTCACTGTGTTCTAGGTATAAATGGTTAAATATTAAATTTTTAAAATCATTACACTATGGTAAACTGTAATACTATGCTTAAAAGGTCTTATTAATAGAAAATCCAGAACCAGACATTGGAGTGAGAGCTGAAAGATCAAAGAAGCAGAGCAAGCCAGCTACAAGTTCTTACCTCTACAAAATCCACGGTCTCAAGAGAGTGAGTTCCTGTTTCCTCACACATTATATACCTTTCTGTGCTCTGCCATGTCACTTCCTGGGTTTAAAGGCATGTGTGCTTCCCAGTACGGGAATTAAAGGTGTGTGCCACCACTGCCTGGCTCTTTTTCCAGTGTGGTCTTGAACTAACAGAGATCTAGACAGATCTCTGTGTCCCAAGTGATAGGATTAAGGGTGTGTGCCACCACTGTCTCGCCTCTATGTCTCATCTAGTGTCTGGCTCTGTCCTCTGATTCCCCAGAAAGCTTTATTGGGGATATATATATATATCACCACAGTATAATGTAGGTGCAGTTACAGCTTGTGTTTCTGCAAAGAAGAGATTTTGATTATAAAGAGGCAAAAAAAAATAGTTACACAAGATAGGGAAGTAAATAATATAAAGCAAACATAGGCAATGTCAATTATTTAAAGCTTTAGACATTTTAAGTTTCAAAAACATTATTACAAGAAATATGCACAAACATACAATTTAAAGATTTATATACTTCTGTTTGCCTAGAGTCATAATCAAATTAGGAAATATATGATCTGTTCAGGAAGACAATATCTTTATTTTTTAGAACTGATGTAAAATTCATACAGGAAGCTCTGTCCTTTATTAGTTGTGTCCTCACTATTCCTTATCTCTTTAATCTCTTTACTGTAACCTGCTATAATCAATGAACCTGATTTTTTCCTTTAGTCAAATTTAACAATATTTGAAAAACAATGATAAAATACAAATGCTTCTTGATAATGATTTCAGCCAAAAGTAAAAATAAAAACCATATATGTCAGAGACACAAGATAACTTCCTCAGATAAATTAATAGTGACATGAATGCAGATCCAGAGTCTAAGGTACTTCATAACGTGCCAATGTATAATTTTCAAAAAATCTGGAATAAATGTAATTCTTGATTCCTGGCAGGAAGTTTATCTTAAAGTCTTTAGAGTTCTTCTCTGCCAAGTATAAATTTAGTTTCCACCAACTTAGAATTTCTTGGATACATTATTTAACCAGTCTTATGTAATACTTGAAGTACCAAACAAACTCAAGAAAAATCAGAGTATTTCTAAAATTTCTTACCAGTGGACAAGTTTTTTAAATAGGTATTTTATGTAAGATTTGATTTGACGGTTTAAGTATATTTCAAATGCATAAAGAAAAAAATATATATGTTATATATGTGAATACATATATATAATTAGGATGAAGCTCTGGTGCTTCAAAGCATTAGCATTTTTAAATATTAACCCTATTTTGAGGTTTCAGTGAGCAGAACCATAACTTTTCCAATTTTCATTTGTAATGTAGTGCAATTTAATTGTTCCAAATAAGTAAAATTCCCTAAGCCGAAATGAAAATGATGTTTAACTTTACTGGAGCTATACCATACCATAGAATCATACTTTTATAGACTACCTTTAGCTGATACAATTCATATCTTATTGCAAATAATTCAGCATAGGCAGTAATTACCATGGGTCCACCACTGTCTAAATTAGGACAGACAATTCTGAAATAAGAGTTTATTTATATCATTTTGTAAACATTGTTATTTATGAACTTAGGGACATTAAATAACAATGACACTATAAGTGGTCCCATCATCAGTTAAAAACAAAACAAAACAGAAGTTGTTACAAATGCTTCCCATTATAGTCATCAGTTTATAATGCAAAAGTGGATAACACTGATTCCTAGTATATCTATTACAAATTATGTAGAACTATGCAGGAGGCACTATGATTTCAAGATAAGATTTTTGACCATTTAACTATTTTTTTAAATTTAAAAGATACATATATTTTTCTTTTTAAAAAATAATTTATATGCCAGGCGGCTGTGGCTCACACTTTTAATCCCAGTACTCGGGAGGCAGAGCCAGGCAGATCTCTGTGAGTTTGAGGCCAGCCTGGTCTACAGAGTGAGATCCAGGACAGGCACCAAAACTACATGGAGAAAACCTGTCTCAAAAAAAAATAAAAAATAAAAAATAAAAAATTTATACAATATATTTTGATATCATGTTTCCCCTTCCTGGACTCCCCCTAGATCTTCCCCACCCAACCCATTGTCCTTTCTTTTTCTCTTCAGAAAACAGGCAAACAAAAAAGCAAACCAAGACACACAAACAAAGGGGAAAATATAAGAAACGTCTCTATTTCTCTCTCTCTCTCTCTCTCTCTCTCTCTCTCTCTCTCTCTCTCTCTCTCACACACACACAC